CCATCCAAACAGATGACACTTTACCAAAAGATTCGTGCAACATTGGAAAAAGCAACAAATACACTAGCTAATAATTAATATTCGTGATCAATTCCAGGCTAGTCGTCTTTCAGAAGTTCTCCATAACATCAATATCAGAGAACTYGACAACAGGAGCGAGCTCGACGAGGTGCATTATTCCCTTATCGATTTGTATTCTCTTCTGAGCAATCAAAAAGTGATATTTCTTTTTCTTTACAGCTGATGTTACTGCTGAAGAACGTGAATACTAACTACGCCTGTCTGACCGTTGGGGGATTGGTGACTATTACCAAAGAAATGATTCTAACGGTAAKGTAAATCACATATCCTGGTCATCCCAGGCCCTTCTTACTTTATCGGTGATTGTTGATTTGGTAATTGTGATTGTTTAAACAACTCTGAGAGTTTTCTGCTTCTTTTRCAGGTTTTTGGAACCATGTTGGGATATCTGACTATACTTATGAGTTTCTAATTAACGCATGCGCAGAGCAATTTATAAAAAGTGAAGTCGTTTGAGGCGTAAACAAAGACAATCCGTCCTTTTTGACATAGTGTTTATACCCCAGTGAATTCTTAGTTATATGACATATTTGTTGATTTCTAAGAAATTGTTTCACGGTTTTGTGGCGTACACCCTAGTTAATGCAGCACTTAGAGAGCATAAATTACATGCCTAAATAATGACATAACATCTYCTAATTTCGCAATATATTCTATCTTCGCATTACGTAATACTGTACAAACAAATTAAAATCACAGCACTACATTTTAACGATAAATTGGATCTTTGAAGAAGTTTTTTTCTATCGAAGTACCAATGCATGCCGTTACGTGGACACTTAGAAATATCTCCAATTAGTGCTTGAAATAAAGCTATTTAAAATAGTAAACAATAAATGTTTGTTAGAGATTTTTTGGATGACATGTACACTTATGCGTATATATGTGTAATAAATAAATAAATTTAAAACATTTCAAAAACATTTAGATATTTTTATGTATCGCGAGAGGTACGCGCGTATCTCCATAGCTTTTCACTATTA